GTAAAATATGACATACTAAGAGTCAATCAAGAACACGAGATGGCCTGGTTACGAAAAAGGCAAATGGCAATATCACATTGCTGAAACTAATAACATAGATTTCAATGGTACTGATGATAATAAGCCAATAAGTCTGCCACGTTAAGTTTTCAGATAATCCATGTACAGACAAACATGACCCACTAAACCCAGATAAAATTAAAAAAAAATTATTAGAAAATCAAAAATGGGACATGCAAGACTGTCTATGTAGTATATAATAGAAAGTTCATTAACAGTGTTGACAAAAATTGCCGTCTCAGAGCAATCACCTTGTACATCAAAAAAAGGGGCTGATTTCACCAACACAGGTTTGATATTCGTACGAAAAAGATGAGCCATTTCAGATGCTTATACATCAATCAGTGAAGTGAAGTAAAATCAACAAAATATCATATAAAACAAAAAAAAATTAAAAGAAAAAGAAAATACCTGATGGAAAGAGAGCGCTTCCAGCTAATCCTCTTAGTCGGAGCAAAGCTCACCCTGTTCTCTCTACTCGACCGGCTTCTTTCTCTTGAAAAAAACAAAAAAAATACCCGAAAAAATCACAACTTTCCCCCAAAATTGAAATCTCAAGAAATTGAGATAGTAAAGTGAGAACATTCGCAACTTTTGAACTTCTCTAGGGTTTTCACTCTCCACTCTTCGCCTTCCGTAGACAACAGCGATCTGGGGCTTTGGAGCGGCTCCTCGATCTTCTTCAGCTGCTTCTTGAGACGAGATCTCCGCCCACAGATCGCGCGCTCCACCTGAAAATCGCAGAAATTTTAAGGGGGCAAAGCGAAACTCTTTTGGGGGAGAAGGAATTAGGGTTTTGTTGATGTACCTCTTTGAGAAGCCATGACGATGAGAGAGAGAGAGAGAGAGCGTGCGTGAGAGAGAGAGAGAGAGGGGGAAAATTTTGAAAATGGTTTCCTCGGAAAAACGAGCCACGATTTAGTTCTTCGATTTTATTTGGGCTGGATCAGATGCTACTTCTATGGTCATCTCAAAGTGATGGCCGGCCCAACAAGCATCCTACTTGGGCCGTTGGGCTCCATTTTGCTCTTACCACCTCACACATCATGGTTAAAATAAACTATAAAGAGATTATCTACGTCTTCGATTTTATAGAGAATGACTGCAAGGCTACAAACTCATGAATAATTTCTCCCCATTATATGGACCAGATGAAAAATAATTTCTTCCTATGTGAAACTTACCCTTGCCAGGATTGGAGCAACATGAAGCCCCCCTATCAATCTTCGATCAAGTTAAGGGTTTGGTAGTCTGACGAACGATGGCTGAGTTATAGATGCATCTTAGATGATGCTTAGATCACCAAAACCTAGGGCTAGTAAACGACCGGATCGAATCGAATATCTGACCGTTCGAATTTGATTCGACAGCATTTATTAGCATTCGATGATTATTTTTGTATATCCATTTAACAACAAACTGTGATTTTGCCTACATTGTTTGTTTAATATTCGATGCCTATTCATTTAACAACATGACAAGTAGGATGTTCTTACTTATGAAACAAGAAAAACATATACGTTATACACCTCGTTGGATCTTAGTACGGATGTTTTTTTATGGATTTCCATTTCAAGTATTGCTCTTATTGGACTTCTTATGTCAGGATATGGATAGACAATAAATATTTCTTTTCAGGTGGTCTACGGGCTGCTGCTCAATGTCTTGTTACTGAGGACCTCATTTCGAAAAAATATGTTGTCTGGGGGTTTTACCGGAATTAACGGTAGGATGGGCAGTTGATCAGATCTAGTATGGATCGTACATGGGCGATTGTTGGATCGGCGGCTCCAAATGGATATTCATCATCTTCTTGTCATTTTCCCCACGCTTTCTCTTTTTTTAACAAATAAATAATTGTTCCCACGAAATCTTCTATAGCAGGGGATCTGCTAAAGAGACATTATATGATAGCACCTTTGATGAGAGATATGAGCAAGAAGCTTCGAGAAAATAGTTTTTGAAGAAAAAACAAGATGTAGATGTTTCTTTTGTCCCTTCCTGACGATCGAAAAATAAAGAAATGGCTGATATATTCATAACGCAAACGACACACATTTTATATTTTATATTGAATCGAATTCTAGAATAATTCTTCGAAAGATATACAGGGGGATGATTGAGGTGCCGATGAAGCACTCGATTCTGAGATGAAGAGTGCGTCGAGTGTCAAGATTCGGGGGGTGGGGTGGGGGCAAAAATATTGATAGGGGAAGAGATCGTCAAGACTTGAACCATTGTAAATAAAATTTTACATACATAAAAGCTAATGTTTGCCATAAGTTCAATTAAAATGACTAAAATATAAAAAATTATCAAATACTTACTAATCAAGCGAATCTAAGATATGTTTGGTTAACTTTTATTCATTTATAAGTTGAATGTTGAAAATTATTTGTTTAGTATTAAATGAATGATCAAACATGACTGAATATTTTGGCGAATATTAATAACCGAACTATTTATTAATTATTCGGTTCACTTCCATCAATAACCGAACTATTTATTAATTATTCGGTTGACTTCCATCCCTAACCTAACCGACAACATATTTGGTTGCATTTTCTCATGTGATACTTGCCTTTTTAATCATTTAGTCCCATCCGATTCTGAAAAAAGTTCAACTTGCAGAGTTAAATATAACCTGTGAGGACCCAAAATGCTACGGAAATATGCAAGCAGAGAGCGAGTGTTGACAAGATACAGCTGCAGTTTGCACATGATGCTGCTCTCTTATTCATGCACCGGTCTCTCCTTTCTCCTGTTGGAATAAAACAAGCTGGACCTGCGTGTCTCCACGCTGGCAGCTAGAAATGAATGAAGGGTGAAAAAAAAATGCTTTTCCGCCGACATACCTGTATCAATATTTGTTAATATTCACATGTATTTACTAAATATCTATATTTGACGAGATGTAATATAGATATGTAGTGAAATATTAAGATTCGTATCTAAAACATCCAGACATACGCTTAGTCATATATTTCTCTTTTGTTACATGAACTATATATCTTCTCAATATTATATAGTTATCTGTTTTTGTATTGGCATGTATACATCCGCACATATATCTACGTGAATATCCATATCTAATTTTAGCGGATATAGATATAAGTTTCTCTGATCGAGGCATATCTGACTGGTAAACAGATAAGAAATCGTTTGAGAACCAAAATATTTTTTTACTTCATCATAGTAACAAACTCCAGAGGCTGATTCTCCCTCCAAAAATATGAATAATAACGAATAATCATACTCCTACACCTCCCCAACCCCCGCACACACAACAGCAAACACCAAATTTTAATAAACCAAACACATAATAATAACAGTAAGCGACACCAACTTGGAGTCAGTTATGCAGGAGGAGATCTCTTTACGCCGCGGGCTTCTCCCATTTGAGAGGCTTGACGGCCTCCCAGGTGAAGTCAGCGTCGTCCCGGCCAAAGTGCCCGTAGGCCGCCGTCTTCAAGAACCGGCCGTTGCCTCCTCTCTTGAGGTCGAGGTTGATGGTGATCATCCCCGGCCTGAAATCAAAGTTCTCCTTCACAATCTTCAGTATCTCCTTATCAGGGATCCTCCCGGTGCCATAGCTGTCGACGAAAACCGACAGAGGTTCAGGCACCCCGATCGCATACGAAACCTGCACGATGCAC